TTCATTTCTAAATGATTTATATGTATAATGATTGTGTTATAATTGAGTAAAATCGTATTTCCCGAATTTTCCCGATTTTGGCCTTTTAATTCCCGAATTTGGATGTTTTTACTCCCGGAAAATGGAAGCTTTACACATAATAAAGTCAGACTCTCTGACAATATTAGCGAGAATGTCACGCATTGAGCCCGAGTTGTGTATAATACCGCACACGTGTATTCTTGTGCCCACTTTAAGACCCATATCATGAGCTCTCTTCTTATTACTGGTAATCATATTGAGTATACGATTACCCGTCGCCTCATTCGTGAAATACTCATTAGTGAACGTTAGGCCCCAAACAGTCTTCCCGTGTATACCGTTTGCGTCCTAACAATGCATTCAACAAAAATAGATTTTAATATTAATTATATTAATATTAAAGTTACAAACAATCTCTGCCCACATATACACGACTTACCTGTGCGGCAGAAAATGCATTATTAATTTCCTTTTGTTGGAGTGAATTGTCCTCAATTTGATTGATACCCTGAGCGACGATTAATGCATTTTGGTTTTTATCTCGGTTAATTTGTGCGGCCGCTCTCGACACCAGACAGTTAGAGTCAGTTTCGTCCCATTTATTGTTGGCATTATAAGCGGCGACTCCCATACCATATGTCGCTATACTCCGGAACCGACTGTTAACCACATTCAACATATCCTTAATATCTTGAAGAGTATATGAGTTCCAATAAGGAAGTTGTTTCCCAACCCAGTGCTTAGTATAGGGAGAGTACGCGACCCCAACATAATCTCTATTAAAGTTTTGACTATAGCTCACCGTTACCTGAGTTTTGATTTAATGGCATATTATTATTATCATTGTTTAGCAATCATTTAATGCATTACTACTTACATAGAGTAACAATAAAACCAATTTGTTTGACATTGTATTCAACATTTTAGATATGATTCCAAATTGTATTGAATTAAAACTAATGATTATTCGTTTAATTCTTCCCTTTTTATTGTATTACTACTTACATAGAGTAACAATAAAACCAATTTGTTTGACATTGTATTCAACATTTTAGATATGATTCCAAATTGTATTGAATTAAAACTAATGATTATTCGTTTAATTCTTCCCTTTTTATTGTAGATTTATTTGGAAAATAATGAAAAATTATTTTAATCGACAGATGTTTGTCACCGATAAGAGTGATCAGAAAGCTGTGATTCCGTTGTTTTCTTGTTTTACCATATTTGTTTGTTATTCATAGAATATTACACTATACATGGTAACTTATAACGTATTATTAATAACACAAATAAATCAATATCTATTTACGTAATAAGTTTTTATCATTCATTGGTCGCATGTATTGCTAAAGACTCACAAATTAGTGATTCACTGGTTTACGTCCAGTTATAAAATGAAAACAAATAATTTTAATGTCAAACACCTTGATTATCAATGATAATGATAATTTAATTTATAAATTATCGTTGATATTAATAATGTAATAATTACTTTAAGTATAAAATCAAACTATTTAATAATAAATCTGTACAATAATTCAAATTACATTATATTTTAAATTAAAGGAACACTTCTGTCAATGGGTTGAGATCTGAGTAAAAATATGCAAATAATACAAAGCAATTGAACGATTGCCGTCTCTATTGCAATGAGAACCGTTATTTGAAGATAGTTTGACACTTTGTTGACCATCACATGAGAGGCTACAACACATGACTCCTATTTTGGTTTTAAATAGCAATTATTGTAATGTCTATTAAATCATAATAGAGTTTATATTGGATTAAATATACAAACCTTTTGGTACACTTGTTGTTCATCACACCATTGATTATCCAAATCATACTTCACATCATTAAGACAACAGGACAATGGATAGGCACCGATAGGAACACCAGTAGGTCTGAGGGGTTCCCAACTGTGGGAGCCATTCAAAGAACCGCAACAATTGAATTGGAGCTGAAACTCGTCGACCAGTCGTCCGCTACTATTGTTTATTCCTTTCCAATCGTATTCATTCATTAGTCCGGAGAACGTGTCGACCGCACGGCTGGGGCTCTGGTTTGCCAACTGTACCACAAATTCATTATTAAATTATAATTATTGTCACTTGTATTACAATGAATAGTAAAATTTGTCATACATTATGATAACTAATTGTTCCGACAACTATAGAGAATAATGTGAATACGAATAAACCAATCAGTATGAAACAAAACTGAAAAATAAGTTATGGTAAGTTTTATTCAAAATTTTGATGTAATATTATCATAATACTTTTATTGCTTAAACTTACGGCAATTAAAATACTTAAACGCTTTCTATAGATAGCGGTTAACCCAAAAAGTGAATTTATAATAATGAGAAAGCCGTTGATTGCGAAACATTTTCGTATAGTTTTGATATCGGGATTAAATTCATACAGAATTTTCAACAAACGTTCGTTGCATTTGAGTCCAAATATACTGAATAGTGTTATCATTAAACCAAATGCCTTTATTTAGGTGTAAAATAATACATATTATTTAGCAATTTTATTGATATAA